GGTCGCGAATTTTTAGAAGCTATCAATTCCGACGAATCCTGCATCAACAGGCTTGCTGAGGGTCGACCTCACTCTCTCCCTCGCTGCCTGAGGGGACCGGGAAACAAACACCCCGTCGCTAGCAGACGGAGTACTATTAACACCTGCTTAATCGAGCAAGCAGTCATTGTTCCGATGGTGAACTTTACAAAATTGACCTTAGTTATCCTGTTCAAACTGTTTTTCAGGAAGGGTTACTTTAGAAATTTCGTTTTGTTGATGCTGTCCCGATTGATTCCTCCGATCAGGCGCCCAAACCAAACAACGGGGATCACTTCCGTCTTAAATTTGAAACATCGTTTCCCAGGTACAAATTTGAAGACAGCGTAAGTAGCAGGATTTAATGGCACCATAAATTTTGCCAGCGCTCATCAGCCGCTTCCACTCGCTGCATAAACAGAATAACGAATGATAAATTGCAGAATTGAATTCATACAGAAAAATCGATCTTAGTCTTAGTCGCCTCTACGGCAGTGGACTTGTAAGTGTATATACTGATCTGTTAACAGGACATGCTCATCTCTTTGTGCCCCGGGGATCAACCTTGGGCCCTCGCAGTCAGTCGTCCGGTGACCAGGAGCACGGACAGAAGGGAATGAAAACGGTTTTGAAAGCGCTTTGGGCTTTTAAATACTGGCAAATCCCCAACAGCCGCTGTGATTGCTTGTTCGAGGTTTTCCTCTCTAGCAGTTTGGCTTAAGAACCCAACCACAAGGTAGCGGTGGCAGGCAAACGGTTCACGGTCGCCGTGTCACAGTGTCTTTATTGGAACTTGCGGTGTTTTATAAGACGATCGATGCGCCAGACTGGGATGGTTTGGGCACGTTCCCCGTTTTCCGCCTCACGAGTTTTGCTATGCTGCCCTCGATCCGGCGCTACAGCCCACCTGGAGGCGTCGAAGAGGAGGCCAACTCAAGACTTGGCTCGACACCCTTCCTCAAGACATGGAAGCGGCTCTTGGACTTTCGGTTCTCCGTCTCCGTCGCCTTCTAGATCTGCTGTCGCTGATCGTCACGTGGCGAGGGGTACCGTCTGTTGAGGCCGTTTAGATTAGACATCATCA